AAAACGCTGTTCCAGTTATCATAAATCCAGTTTTCTTACATGTTATTAAAACGATGTTCAAGATATCATAAATCCAGTTTACTTACATGTTATTAAAACGTTGTTCAAGTTATCATAAATCCAGTTTCCTCCTGAACAGCGCCACCATTCTGGAAACAACAACCAGAGAACACGGTCCAGGCTATCTTAGCTACACAAACGTTGATTGGTTGTTCTGTCGGGGGATATCCTGCTCCTAGAGTCACCTGGAAAATAAAAAGTTAGTTATTACAAAATGCCGTTATTTTTATAGAAGTTTTCATTTTATATTTCTGTCACGTTACACAATAAATAATTAATAAAATGTATTTAGCGATGATTGATAAATAACATAATACAAACAGCGTCTATTGTACAGAGATTTAAAACGAATATTTTAACTTTCTTAGTGCGAGTGTTAGGTATTGTTTCTGTTCAATTAACATATTCTTCCATCTTTTAATAATCGTTCCTGTTGCAATTTTAGAATAATAGTTCATAAAACGTTGTCTAGATGGCGGTACAGAATACCTTACAATAACTACCAATATTCTTCAGATCCTTCAGGCTCCTTCACTCCAGTCTCCAGGAGCTACAAGATGAAAGTGTTGGACAACGGAACCCTGGTGATTAACGACGTTAAGGAGACAGATTCAGGAACGTACCTGTGTCAGGCTGATAACGGAGTGGGGGGAAAAGTTGGAGAAAGCTGTCCGTCTGTCTGTCCACGGTAATAATTCTTATTCGGGTGTCGGTTTAGTAACTCTCCGAGTATTCAAAGATTATTAAGTCTGATAAAATACCTTGTTAAACGGACTGTTAAGCCTGTCGTTACTTGATACTAGTAACAACTTTACGTTATTTCAAATATTGCATATAATATTCAAATGTGAAATATGTGTAACACAAGTAACATAAATAACACAAAAAACACTAACTCGTTAAGTTATTTGTAAATTTCTTTTTTTCACCAACACGTATAATAATACATGAATGACGTAGTGGTCAATAAAAAACCTAGAATTCATTATGTGACATAGATTACATTTGTCATGAATGGGTAGGGAAAGAATGATTGAATTACCAGACTTTCTTTGTTTTTCGTTTTTTTTAGTTATTTATAAATGTTCAATTCTGTCTATAATTTCATTGAGTGTTGCCTTTCTTTTTCTACAGTGGCTCCATCTATTGTGAAACATAGCGAAATTGTTACTGTGCAGCGTGGATACACGAAGAGTGTACGGTGTGTTGTAAGAGGAGACCGCCCTCTAGTGGTTAGATGGCTAAAAAACAATCATGTGTTGGAACCTTGGTCGAACCGGTAAGATTATTTAACTTTTCTTGTTTGACGTAAATATCAAAATAATTTAGTAATATGTCGGTTCTAATCTGATACGAAGTTTTA